GAAAATCCAGTTACAGTTTTTTTTAATAACCACTTAATATGTTTTGATAATTAGGTATAAATATAGGAATACAGTACACATTTTGATCTTTTTTCTCATTATGTATTAGTTTTATTCTAATTATACAATAATGTGTGAATTTCTTAAAAAATGCGATACACAGAATAAGAAAGGTTCAATGGATATTTACAATGTTAACGTTATACAACATGTTATATATATATTTCAGTCCACTTATGTTTCTTTCTTTAATTTAGGTATGGTTTTTATATACAATGTCTAAAAAAGATTTTGTAATTTATATAATTCGTATTAAGAATTCAATAGAATTGTGCATCGGCCAATTTTTGCGTTAACATAACCCTGTTAATTTAGTGACAAAAAAGAAACAACTGATAAAACAAATTGATGTAAGTACATATTATATTAAATAACGTGGCAACAATCAAATACAGATAATAATACTATTAATTTTAATGCACGAGCTGAAATGTAATCTTTGAAATCATCTCAATGAAAGAATATAATTTTTTCAAATAATATCACAGTGCAGGTTTCTCGTCCGTTGGTTCTTCCTTTATAGGATGACTACATTCCATCAGGGCAGGATTTGCCACTGCAATTATATTGTCTCCGCGCGAAGCTATTACCTAAATTCATTGCAAGCGTAATTAGAATTATTAGTAGGTGCCCAGAGAAATAAATTTTTATCAAATTAATATTGGACAGAGTCATAATAAATTGTATTGTAGCATAGGAGACTTCTAAATCAATGTATTATGTACGTTTGATTATTATTAACTAACGACCTATTACGATTTTTTTTATTACCCACTACATTTACTAGAATTGACTAAATGCAATGTGTATAGTAGTTATGACATAATGCAATGTATACATACAGTAGGTCATCTCATAAGTTTGTCGTTTATTACTCCTTTATTTAGGTTAATATTTAATAATTATTCTTTCAATCTGTAATCTCATAACGGACACGATTTTTGAGGTTTTCATAAGAATATTATATGTCAATGCTTCTTTTTATGAATTCGATATTATAAAATTTATTCTCACTGAAACATGTTACAGTGCTCGACGTGGATGATAATTCACTAGAGTATTTTCATTTTATATTAGTTGTTTTCAAGATAATACAGAATTTCAAGATTTGCCTTTGTCTACCTTATATGTATAGGGTACACCATTTGAAGTAACGCACTCAATAATACTATAGGTCGTTTCAACAAATGTTTCAAATAACCTTATCCTGTTTCGAGGGGGACATAATAATATTTTGTTACATAAACAGATAGTGCATTTTAAGGTCAATTCATTGATCTAAATACTTTGGTCTTTGAAGGTCGTTCAAGGTTATTTAATGCTGTTTAAAGTTTATCTTTCTTGGTACTAGTTCGCGTTATGTTTACATATGAAACGATGAAATATTGAAGGAACATGGAACTTTTGGAAGGTTTAACGAAGATTTAAATAGCATTAAATGATTTTGAACGATCTTCAAAGACCAAAATGTTATAGATCAGTAAAGTCATCTTAAAAGGTAGAATCCGTTTACATAAAAAACATATACATACATACAGTTCCATTAAAAAAAGTCGGGACACCTTGAAATCTCGGAAGCACGTACACCCAGCAAAAATTTGCGAGCATTATAGAATGTACCGCTCGAAACAGGGTAAGTTTCATTTGACACATTTTTTTAAACGAACTATAATTTAGGAGATAATTAAGCGCATTAGTTCAAATGGGCCACCCTGTACATGTAGATCAAAACATCCTTCATGAAAACGATCCAACTGCTTGTATCAGACGATAGAACCATAATTTTTGAATGTATAACAATGAAATGTTTTTTGCTTTTTAATCGTTTTCTTTTGGATCTTGTCTTTAGATCACATTTGATCAACTAAAATTATTGCAATAATTAAACTTATGGGACGACCTAACTTGCAAACTTGTAATATGAAATTCTGATCACGAATTTTACAATATGTGTGTGTGGTTCCTTGTATAATAAAAATACCTTGAGATTGAAATCACTTTCTTTATCAGTATTGTCTGCTTCAGCTTCGTTGGTATCCTGTAAATATTAGTCAGATATGTAATTTTTAAAAATTCAAAAGCTCGTAGAAAATGTTGATAAAAATTTGTTCGTAATACACTCTTTACTCATACATGTATCGACGACGATTCTTCGTTGGAGAAGGAAAGTTGACTGTCCGAGTCGCTTATTTCTTCGATACTTCCGCTGAATATGCCATTGTTATTCTTCTTCCTCCAAACTGGACTAAAACGATGCAAATGTCTCAACATCAATATGTACATAAGGAATTTTTACGGAACTCTTTCAAATTTGACAATTTAAACATAGTTGATAGTGAAGTTACAGTTGTATCGAGTATGTAAATGTCAACTTATACTATCCGTTTAGACACGAAATGTTTCGATTCAGAAAAATGATTATTAGATGCGGCTGTTTATCCATAGCGTCGCATTTCAGAATGTTCAGATAAAGAACGATTCAGAACTCAGGCAAAAGTATCCTACATTTTCAGTAAGAATATTTTGACTGAATCGATATAGACACGTAGCTGAACATAAGTGAAATGTAAATGTAACGTTAGTTCAGGTAAAATGTTGTTAATTGACGGAGGCGTGAGCAATAATATCAATAAATTAATTCATTGGTAATCAACTGTTTGAATAAAATTTGTTAAACTTTTATCGACCGCAAGACATCGTTTTCTTTTTCTACTTGCTTCGTCTTCATCTAATAATAGAGCTATGTAGTCTGTATATGTATACTGATGGCATAACTGCACATGACAGAGACAGAACATTTTCGAAATGTGCTGCAGAGTGGCATTATCCAATCCCATTTGTGAGTTCTCTCCTGCAGCACATTTCTATTTATGTGCAGTTAATTCCGAGCTCAGTATAAACACTAGATTGTTTTTGTTTAAAGTATGAAGTACGGAACGTTTCTAAACGTTTTTTGTCTTGAACGTTTCGTGTCTAAATGTCTGAACAGATGGTAACAAGATTTTAAGTTGAAATATCTTACTTAATTAGCATTTTCGCATAAATCATCTAAAGAAAACAATTAGTTTGAGAGATATTTTAATATCAATTATTCAAAGTAATAGTGCAGTAATGGGACCTACTCCTGTACGCTTTTCTTACTTCCTAAGCTGGCGCGTCCATCCCCACCATTTTACTGCGCATCCAATCCGCAATGGATCCTGTTTCAGTAGTGAATCGTCAGCCAATCAGAGCAAAGAAAATTTTTACATTGATCATCGCTCGGCTTAGAGGTGTGCAAGAGTAGGATCCATTACTGTACTTCGAATAATGAATAAACTCTTACGAATAAAAATGAAGAACTAAATCCATTGACGTCATGAAAAAAATGAAGAAATATTTGATCTTCAAATGTTCTGTATCCTATGTGTCCACTTACAAAAATGCTAATTATATTGACATATTCGTCAATATAATTTAATAGAAGAATTTTCGATACAATTAACAGTTTCAAGAACATTTCAGCTTCCTTTAGACGACTCACATTGCATTGTATTTACAGCTATAAGAAATTATGTTACTGCGTAGTTCGTAGAAGCTTTCAAGTTAAATGATTATATTTTGTGTGTAAACCTGAATTTTAAGAATTTTCATTCATGTTGTAATCATATCTCGTAATCAGTAATACAGATTAAAATTGATCCTTCGATAATCACCTTGATGATCTATGTCTAGTAAGTGTCGAATTGTTAATATCCATTTCAGAACAGCGAAGATCCAGCTCCTCCTGAAACAATTAACTGCTATAGACAATATAAGCGGCAGCAATGTAGCTCTGTTGACATGAAAAAGAAGAAATTAACAATGAATAAAGCTAAAATACTGAAAGAAGACACAACTCGTCAGGATACTAGGAACAAAGCATAGAGTCTTAACAAGTGTGGAAGAAAGCTAATCATATTAACTTTATAAAAAGTTATTTCAGCAGGTTAATATCTACTAAAGTAACAAATATCTTCTAATTCCTCTAC